CCTCCACGACTCACTGGGGATCAAGAAGACAGAGCACACACACACACACACACACACACACACACACACACACACACACACACACACACACACACACACACACACACACACACACACACACACACGCACACACGCACGCACGCACGCACACACACACACACACCCTCGCACGCACACACACACACACACACACACACACACACACACACACACACCAAGTAGTGTTTCTATGGTTACATTGTGATGTCTTAGTAAATATTCTATTGTGGCTCTTGGATTTTAACAAAACACAAAGAGAATTAGACAAGTTTGTCCGTCAAACAGCGCGGGACTTTATTTTACAATCTTGTTATGCAACCAAAGTGGTCTGGGACAGCAAGATGCTGAGCTACCGACTGCATCTCTTCGTAAAAGCCCTCCTCATATCAAAATGAGGGACCATTTGTACTTTGCTGACGTCAGTCTTAGATACCTCAGGAGACCTGTCTTTCACATAGACATGAATTGAAACTGTTTGGGAGTCTCCCCTTTCCCAGCAAACCTCTACAAAACAGGAACCATCTGCTGCTCTTGACTTACAGATATGCACCCTTTACTGGAACTGGCGTAAGACTTTTTGGCTAGAAAACAAGATGTGGATATGCAGCGCATCACGTTTTTGGTTCATATCTGCTTGCTGTTGGCTTCAGATAAGCATTCTGATAAAAGTTAGTCTTACTGGAAATGATACAAACTTGACTGAAAACAGGATGTAGCACATCACGTACGGTACACAGCTTTTGGCTCCCACACTATTAGGTGAAAGATAAACTTTATTGTATTTATCCTAGTGAATCTATAATTGAATGGGTAAACTAGTAGTAGCACATTCAATGTCAAGGAAAGTGTTATCATCAGGAGAGGGAGAATGTTTAAATGGTTAGCACAGACCCGGCGTCAAGGCCCGGCCCGTCCATTTGCCGATCTGGCCCGCCCAGGACAGATTACAACACCTCATGCAAATGTATTGGCTGAAGACGATCAACAGAGGGCGCTCTAGGTTACTAATCAACAGTTTTAGATGCAGTAGAAGAAGACGCTTTGGTGCAGTAGCTTGCTAAAATGGATATCAGAGCTTGGTTTAGCAAACAGATAAACAATGCTAGCACAAGCAGGGATGACGCATCATCAAAAAGGCCAGTGCAGCCAGAAGTTGCAGCTGCAAGCGCTTCTGTTCCTCCTCTCTCCGTGCCTCCAGCACAGTCTCAGCAGGCAATTGCACCACCGAGTGGCAGCAGCACCAACATAAATCGCTGTTCAGATGACCTCGGGGTGGATAAGCCTAATCAGGTGCGCCTGGAAAATTATCCAGTTCGACTTTTCTCTGGGAAAAAACACCGTTTTTCTTCATCATGGTACCAAAATAGAACATGGTTGGAGTATTCAGTGAAAACAGATGCAGCATACTGTTTCCCCTGCAGACAGTTTAGTTCTCATTCCTCATCAAACTCTTTGTTACCATTTTGAATTCAGGGGTGTCTGCTGTCCTTTTGATTCAAATGTTTTAAAACGCATATTAAAGTTGAAACTGTTTTTGAACCATCTTAAATACAGGGTTGTCTGTTCTCTTTTTAGAAAGAAAACACTCTAGATTTTCTAAATCTTGTTTAGAAGACCTAGGTTACACTTCTTACCAGCTGGTAGCAGTAACGCACCAAGTCATAGTTTACCAAGAAGAAGAAGCACGCAGCCAAGAAGTAGCATGCTAACCTGATGCTAACTAGTGTTCGTGATGTAAACATTATGAGAAATACGTGCTAAAAGAAGAATTTACTAAGGTATCAAGCTGCAGGGCAGGATTTGGAAGAAGACTTGTGGACTAAGTACTTTATTGGAGATTGAGAACATTAACTGGACGTAAGGATTGTTTTGAGATGGTGACTGTGGTGCGCAGGCGCAGCTAAGAACGGTGAGTTGCAAGTATTGGTTCAGTAAAATTGGTTACTTTGTCTTAAGTTTTGATTGCATCTTTAATTGGCATACATAATCGGAATAAAACAATGAAGAATCTTAGCTTCTCTTAGTTAGTTATGTAGAACAAGTTGGTGACGCAAAACGACGGATTTGACCCGGAAGTACATGTATGTAACGTCCACCGGACAGATTATAAACAAGCAAAGGGGTTGATAAAAACACGGTTTACTGGGGCCCCCCCCAGAAAAACCAACTGCCCCTCCAGGTGAAGTCCTCTGGTGCCGGGTCTGGGTTAGTGAAGGGAATTCCGGCTCTTTTTAGAGAGTCGGTTCTTTTGGCTCAGCTCACCAAAAAGAGCCGGCTCTTTCAGCTCCCAAGTGGCTCCTCAGATTTCCTGTTGCGTAGAGTATATTTATAACCAAAATAATGCTAAACTATATGTAAAATAATTTACTAATGTAAAAAAAAAGCAATATATCAAATATTTATCATTTCCATGGATTTAATAACTGAACAATTTAAGAAATCTCCACTTTCCGACTGCTGGCGCTCATTTTCTCACCGTCTTCATCGCACTCTCCTCCCTCTCGTTCGCCTTTTTCCTCCTCCTCATTCCCTCTCGTCTTCCTCCACCCGCATGTGCTCTGCTATGTGTCTGTCTGAGTATGATCCTCCCTCTTGCCCGACCCTACTGCTCTGTATGTGGACAGTCTGGACACACAGTTACACATGTTGATCACCGAGTCTGTAGCCTGTAGCTTTCACCAAGGCAGGGGGGGGAAGGGGGAGGGGACGGCTCCCAATGACGAGCCGGCTCCCGTCGTTCACTTCAAAGAGCCGGCTCTTACAGCCGCTTCGTTCGCAACCGACACATCACTAGTCTGGGTTAGCAGCAGTGTGCTAGCCGATGGCCCCCTACATGAGGCCAACACAGCTCACCAAAACATCATTGCAGCTTCTTCTGGGAAGAAAAACACTTAGAGAAAAATAAAGTTAACAGCTGAAGTTGCAGGAAATAATACAGTTAAAGAGCAGATTGTAGAAGAAAGTAGTAGAGTGTAGAAAGTGGCCAGTGTGTCCTCCAGCAGTCTAAGCCTATAGCAGCATACGTACAGAAATAACTCTGGATAACCTAGCCTTTTAGATGGAGGCATGTTGGAGGCAGGGCAAGGAAGATTCGTCTTTACCGACTGTACACTCCACCTCCCTCCACACCCCCACTTTTCCAGATCTAGGCTAACATCAGATTTTAACCTTCGGGCCGATCAAATAAAAATGTTTTAAGCCTAGTCTTAAAAGTAGACAAAGTGTCTGCCTCACGGACTAAAGCTGGGAGTTGGTTCCACAAGAGAGGAGCCTGATAGCAAAAAGATCTGCCTCCCATCCTATTTTTAGATTTTCTGGGAACCACCAGTAAACCTGCAGTCTGAGAGTGAAGTGCTCGGTTAGGAACGTATGGAACAATCAGATCACTGATGTATGATGGAGCTTGATTATTAAGAGCTTTATATGTGAGAAGAAGGATCTTAAAATCTATTCTGAATTTAACAGGTAGCCAATGTAGGGAAGCTAAGACAGGAGAGATATCATCTCTCCATTTAAATCTCATCAGAACTCTAGCTGCAGCATTTTGGACAAGCTGAAGACTTTTAACTACATTCTGTGGACTTCCTGAGAGTAATGAATTACAGTAATCCAATCTTGATGTAATAAATGCATGAACTAGTTTTTCGGCATCACACCTGGAAAGGATGCTTCTATTCTTAGAAATATTCCGAAGGTGGAAAAAGAAAATCATAGAAACCTGTTTAACGTGGAATTTAAATAACATGTCCTGGTCAAAGATAACACCAAGGTTCCTTACTTTGTTCTCAGAGACTAATTTAATGCCGTTCAGGTCAGGTGATTTCCTAAGCAATTTCCTTTTCTGAATTTCTGGTCCAAAGATGAGAACTTCAGTCTTGTCTTGATTTAAAAGCAAAACATTTTGAGTCATCCAATTTTTTATGTCTTCAAGACAAGCCTGTAATCTAACTAACCGATTAGGTTCATCAGGGTTAATGGATAGCTGAGTATCGTCAACATAACAGTGGAAGTTCATCCCATGCTGTCTTATGATTTTACCAATTGGAAGCATATATACAGTGAAAAGAATTGGTCCAAGCACTGAACCCTGTGGTACTCCACAAGTAACCCTGGAGTATGAAGAAGATTTGTCATGTACATTTACAAAATGAAATCTGTCAGACAGGTAGGATTTAAACCACCCTAACACTGTTCCTTTGATCCCTACAACATGTTCAAGCCTTTCTACAAGAACATTGTGATCAACTGTGTCAAAGGCGGCACTGAGATCTAACAAGACTAGAACAGACACAAGATTCTTATCTGAGGCCATGAGAATATCATTTGTAACTCTCACTACTGCAGTTTCAGTGCTGTGATACTCTCTAAAACCAGACTGAAATTCCTCAAACAGAGCATTAGTGTTTAAATGCTCACATACTTGGATGGCCACTATTTTCTCAAGAACTTTGGATAAAAATGGAAGGTTAGATATTGGTCTATAATTCATTGGGTCATCTGGATCCAGAGAAGGCTTCTTAAATGTTTGATTACAGTAGGGATGCACCGATACCACTTTTTTTGAAAACGAGTACGAGTACGAATACTTGCATTTCAGTATTCACCGATACCGAGTACTTAATAAAATCATGATTTAAATTTACTGGTAACAGCTTTAGTCATATAATTTAACAAAAAAAAACAAGGCATTAGTTTGGAATTAAGAACATTTATTTAAAATGAAAACTGCAGCATATTTTATGCAACATATTAAGGAATAAATAATTATATAAAAAAAGGTAAACATTGCAACTCAAGTTTTTTTTTCAGGTTGTTGTAAACTCTGCCGCTTTGGACAACACAAGAGGCATTAATAAACATTTTTGCCATTTAGTGCACAATATCCGAATAAACTAACAACATCTACCAACATGGGACTCTGGCAGTCAGTGCAACTTATTAAAATAAATAAAATAAACTCCAAGACGGCTCACTTAATGGAGCCTATTTAGAAAAAGTGAGTGGCAGTTTTTTTTTTAAGAAAAGTAGCTTTTCTGCATTATCAGCAGTCAGCCTGTTTCTGTTTTCATCTATAATGTGTGACACAGAGCTAAAGAGCCTTTCACTTTCCACACTGCTACATGGAGCTGAGAGGTATTTACGGGCCATTTTAGCCAAAGTGGGGAACCTGATTTTGTTGACGCCCCAGTACTTCAGAGGACTGTCTTCACGAGGGCTTGGGGCCTCTCCGAGGTATGTGTCGAGCTCAATGGCAGCTCCTGCTGCCAGCGGCTGTGCTGCTTGGGCCTGCTCCATGGCGATTTCTTCAAAGACAGTGTCCAGACTGCTGCTAGTGCTGGCCTGGGCCTTGAGGAACAGTTTAGCAGGAGGTTCTGCAGCTTCCGCCCGACTACCCTCTGACTCAGCTCTGGACATCATCTGCAGCTCCTGCTTCAGGTGCAGCTTGGCCTCTGAGGCAGTGTTGGTGGAGAAGAAGCGATCTTTATACCTGAACAAAATTAAAGAATTTATTAATATGTGGAAAAATAGAGATTTTAGTTTCCCCTAAACCACTGTCACAAATGACAGCTATGTGGCTTTCTGGGAGTAATATGGGAAAATATAGACTTTACCTTGGGTCAAGTATGGTGGAGATGAAGTACAGTGGGTTGGTCTCCACATCACTGAAGCGCTTCTTGACAGCTGTCAGTAAGGTTGCTTTCATTGTCTTGACACCGTGGTCCTCGTCGGTTTCTCTGTTTAGAAGTCTCACAAGCACAGTCACAGCTGGGATGACATCAGAGGCTAGTGCGTCGTAGCTGCTCACTTTTTTAGTTAGTTCCTCAAAGGGGGCGAGTATGGCAACAGTCTTCTCAATAAGAGCCCATTGGTGAGCGGTGAGACAGTCAGGGAGTTCATGCTCGGACACATACACCCCCAGCACTCGCTTTTGCTCAATGAGGGACTGAAGCATGTAATACGTGCTGTTGCAGCGCGTCTGTACGTCCTGCTGCAGTCTCTTTACTGGCTGGTTCAGCTGTCCCTGAATGTCCTCGAGGCGGGAGTAGGCTAAGGCGGAATGCTTAAAATGCCCAACTATTTTTCGCTCCACTGCTATAGCATCAGCTATGCTCCTCTGTGCTAATAAGCCCTCGTGAACAGCCAGCTGGAGCGTGTGCGCGACACACGGCAGACTTGGGAGCCCTGCGTCATTCATGGCTTTAATCATGTTTTTGGCATTGTCACGAAGCACAACGTGTACTGATGTTTTAGGTATACCCCATGTCTGGAGCATTTCCTCAAACACATGCGCTATAGCCTGGCTGGTGTGCGAGCCGCGGAGTTGTTTCGCATGTAATATGGCTCGTTGCGGCGTGAAACTCTCGTCTATCCACTGGGAAGTTAGGCTAATTAGCGACACGGGGCTAACACTGCTGGTCCAAATATCCGTGGTGAAACTAAACTCAGAGGAGGCTTGCAGTCGGCTGTGGATATGTTTTTTCACAGAGTCGTGTAGTTTGGGCAGCTCTGTGTCAGTCATGTAGCGGCGGCTTGGGGCATCATATCTGGGCTCCAGAACGTGGAGGAGACGCAGGAATCCCACATTTTCTACCTCCGAGAGCGGCTGGTCACTCAGTGCAATGTACTCCATAATAGCTTGTGTTATTTTCACAGCACGTGGATTGTCTTTGGACATTTTCTCTCGTCTTGCAAGAGTTTGCTGCAGCATGGGTTGTGTTGGTTTAGCATCGGTAAACTCTTTGTACTCGTTGTCGTGTTTGGATTTTAGGTGCTTTATTAATTTACTTGTGTTTAATGCGCTACCTTTTGCGCCTCCTCTGGACAATTTCGCCGAGCACAATTTGCAGTCCGCCTTTGTTTTGTCCTCTTCATCCACTTTGAAATAGTTCCACACTGCTGACATGTTGTTTCAACCCGTGTCTCACCTCGCATTCTCCCTGCTCTGAGCTGCAGCTGGGACCCTGGGGGCGGGCACTCGGCAACTCTGATTAACCCCTTACTCGCTGCTCAAACATAGACATTTCTCAGACCGTGGTATCGGTCCCTGGCATCGAGGGACTTTTAACGAGTACGAATACTTCAGAAAATGTGGTATCGAGGCCGATACCCGATACCGGTATCGGTATCGGTGCATCCCTAGATTACAGCAATCTTAAAATCCTGTGGTACATATCCATTTACTAAGGATAGATTGATTATATCTAGAATGGGGCAGTAACCAAAGGAAATGCTTCTTTAAATAATTTGGTTGGGATTGGATCCAAAATGCAAGTTGAAGGTTTAGATGAAGCTAATATTTTTGATAACTCTGAAAGCTCAACTGGATCAAAACGGTTCAAGCAAAGATGAGGTTCTACAGTTACCTCTGATGCTGCCTCACTTACTGAGGAAGAAGAAATCGTATTAGGGAGGATGCTAAAGATTTTGTTTCTAATAGAATAAATTTTACTTGTGAAAAATCCCATAAAGTCATTGCTGCTGATGGCTAAGGGAATAGATGGTTCAGAGCTATGATTCTGTGTAAGTTTGGCAACTGTACTGAGAAGTAATTTAGGATTATTCTTATTCTCTTCAATTAGCAATGAAAAATAAGCAGTTCTAGCTTGTTGAAGCTTATTTTTATAAACCAGAATACTATTTTTCCAGGATAAGTAGGACTCTTTCTGGTGTGTAGAAAGCCAATTTTGTAGAGTTTTGTTTTAAAGTTCGTAAATGAGAATTAAACTGGGGAGCCAACTTCCTGTCCCTAATTGCCTTCTTTTTAAAGGGGCAGCATCATCTAATGCTAAAAGTAAAGAAGAAGTAACATTATGAACAAAAGCATCAATTTGTGAAAGGCTAGAAATAAAAATATTGCCCTCTGATACGTTCCTCTGAGATGCTGAAGATAGTAACGATGGAACAGTTGATTTAAAAGTTGCAGGGCCGGCTCTAGGTAATCTGGTGCCCAAGGCGAGACTGCCCATTTGCCCCCCCCCCCCCCCCCCCCCCCCCCCCCCCCCCCGCCCGCACGCCTCTCAGCCAAACCCAAGTCCACCCGCCCACCACACATTGGAAAAAGCAACTCCACAGTTATTCCTTAGTTACTAATTTTTTATTTTAAATATTCACACAGCAACTCTTTAAAGTCAACAGACTAAAGAATAAATGCAAGTTTGAAAGATATGTAACCTGAGAATATTACAATAACCAACAACTCAAAATGTTGTGCAAATGTCATTGGGGGGGATGCAAAATCAACAGCAGCATTAAACTGTGCAATCAAAAGCAAAACTCAAATATCAAAGTGTCATCATAAAGAAAGTTCTACTTTCCATTTTGTTCAACTGCTGTGGCCAGTCAGCAGGATCCATGGGGCCAGCAGCTCATACATGTTCACAGACATCTGTTGAAGCTGATGATGGTGTCTCTTCAGGCTGTTGGACTGGAGCACTTAGTCTGCTGGTGTTCTTCTGTGAGAAAATAAACAAACACACACACACACACACACACACACACACACACACACACACACACACACACACACACACACACACACACAAAGCAACTTAACCCTCTGATGCATGAATTACTTAAGAACAGTGCTACTTTCACATTCAATATTCCTCAGTCATGTGCAGTGATGCTTTTCATTATTTTTCATGTTACTGGACTTTTTATTTTATTGATCTTTTTTTTAATCTGTTCTATGAAAACATGAATAAAATTATCAAAAACAGGTGGAAGTGAGCGCATCCATGGGGCATATCTGAAAAAACGTATGTCTCACTCTCAGGTGCTCTTCAGCATCAAATAAATTGTACAATATGAGGAAGAAGAACCGGTGATCTGAGGCACTCTGAGGTTTTCATTTATTAAACAAGGAAACACCGACGCATTGCTGGCAGCAGCGGGGGAGTCCCCGCCACGGCCGCGGCGGCGACGCCCGCCCGATGTGTCAGACAAAGTTGAAATTTTGCTACACCCACACCTAACGTTCTTCTGATATGAAAATATTAAATTCATATAGTATGCCCTGTATGCGTACTTAAAACTTGAATCGAAGTTCATAAAAAGGCTGCAATCATACTCCAAAAAAACAGTAAAATAAATCTTACATTCTTCATCTTCACAGTGAGACTCAACAGGTGTAGAAGACAGTCCCGCCCCCGTGGTGTCAACAGGTGCCTGTCGTGGCTGCAGATATGTCTCACTGCATATGGACATGACGATTCAAAAGTAAAATTAATCGGTTAAAGTTAGAGATACTGTATTGTGTATGTAAACAGCTAGCGAGGGTCCGTCCGTGGACCGTGCGTGGCAGGAGAGGCAGTTAACTAAAATTGTAACGCAAAAAGTTCCTTTGCCAAACTTATAAAGTCTACATACCTCTGCTTTGGGCCCGTCTTTTTTCTTCCTCCTTCCTTCCCTTTCGGAATGCAGATCCCGATGGCTTAGGTGTTCTTTTCCTCGTAAAATATCAAAAGTTTAAACGCGACGACAACAGGATGTTCTTCTACAGTGCTAACCACGCACGTGATCTACGGCACCCTTAACGGTCAAATGCATCGGAGCAGTGGCCCAAGCGGGAGCTCGTCATGCAGCCAGATCATTAGAATTTAAATATTGATGTTTTAATTTCATGTCATTTCAGAGGGGAATTTTGAGTATGTAGAGTGTATTTCATATTACAAACATAAATGTAATAAACTTTTTTTTTTTTTTTTTTAAATTTTGCGCCCTATCCATCAGATGGCGCCCCAGGCGGCCGCCTGTGTCGCCTGTCGCCAAAGCCGGCCCTGAAAAGATGCAACAGCATTGTCAGATAGAGACCGACTATAGTGAAATTTACTTTCATGTCTCGAGAACTGTTATAAAAAACTCAAAGGTTATCAAAAAGTGGTCAGAGAGGCCTGGGTTATGTGGAAAGATCGTTATTTCCTCACACTCTATGCCATAAGTCAGCACAAGGTCTATTGTATGATGGCAGGAGTGGGTGGAGCTATGTATTCTTTGGGTAAAACCAATTGAGTTTAAGATATTACTAAAGGCTACATTGAGGCTATCATTTTCAATGTCCACATGAATGTTAAAATACCCCACTACAATGACCTTATCAGTATTTTTCTTCTTCCGGCTCTTGGAGGGTGCAGATGCTTTTCTTCTCCTCTCCTCCATATCTTATCCTCAAGGCCTTTGTCTGTGTGTGTGTGCTGGGTGCACGACTGCTTCTGCAATTTTTCTGGAAGCTGGAAACTGAAATTCACTTAAATGGATCTCGTCAGTTGGTCACTCAATGCGGTTGATAAAATGTTTTCAATGATGACAACGGGAGAAGGGGCTCCCGGATGCCCCTCCGGGACAGACATGCTGTCTGTGGAGGACTCTGAAGAAGTGTGGATATTCGTGGTGTTGGTGTCGGGTTTCCTGCTGATCGGCCTGGCTTACCAGAAAATCAACGAGCTGTCGAGGAATATTGGCCTGCTCCCGGAGCTCAGAGATGGTTTGCACAGCGCTGTGAATTCACAGACTCACTTAATTGTCGAGATGAATCAAAAGCTTGGGACTTTGGCCGAGTTTCATTCATTGGCACAAAAGATGGATGCCATCAAGGATAGAGTAGACGAATTCAGCACGGATTGGGATAGTTTAATGTCCATTATTGGGATTTTGAGAGGTTGAGGACCAACAAACTGTAAGACAGAGAGGAAATTGTTTCTGTCTGGCCCCAAAACTATTTCTAATTGGAAACTGGCATCCCTGAGTCTGCAAGGCTACAACGAAAACTCCCCCCTCAGAAGATATGTGGAATGTGCCATCGCCATGGCAACTCGACTCTGTCTCCTATCCCAGCCTGGGCGGGACTGCGGGAAGACCGCTGAAATGTTCCAGGGTCACTGCAACCCTCAATGCTCCTCCCCCTATCCACACTGAGGTGACATGTGCTGCTTCTATCGTGGCTGCAGGAACTGAAGTGGGGATAGTCCCAACCCACCACCCCACCTAGTGGACACTTACGTTATGTAATGTCTGAAGTCTGTTGCATATATGTTTGAGATGTATTTTTTGCAGAGCAAAGCTGCCCTTCCTATGGAGGGTAGCTCCGAAGTGCATTTTTTTTCCCTCCACCTGAACCAACCCTCATGTAAACCCCTCTTACCTCTATTAAGGTAGCGTGACTCATGATTGCAAATGACCACAGTCACCAATTCTTGTCATGTGTCTTGCCCATGTATATCTGATCTCTGAATTGTGTGTACTGAAACTCTAATTTCCCTCTGGGATTAATAAAGTATCTTTGATTTGATTGATTTGATTGATTTAGTACCAAATCAGATGAAAAATCAGAGATCTGATCCAAAAACTCAGAGTAAGGGCCTGGTGGACGATAGAAAACTACAAACCAGAGTGGTTTTACGGTTTTGCAATCTGGATTAGGAAAACTAAGAATAAGATGTTCAAAAGAATAAGTCTGAATGAAAAGTGGTTGTTACTCCTCCTCCTCGCCCTGTACTTTGAGCAATATGATTATTTAAATAATTTGAAGGAGTTGACTCGTTTAAGCTAACATAGTCCTCTTGCTGCAGCCAGGATTCTGTGAGAGAGAGCAAAGAGATCTGATTATCACAAATCAAGTCATTAACTAACAAAGTCTTAGAAAAAATAGATCTAATGTTCAACAACCCACATTTAATTTTTCTAATTTTCTGCTCAGTTGAATTTGTTCTAATATTTATGAGATTTCCATGATTTGCTTTATTAAGCCTGATATTTCATCTGTGTGATTTTGGCCGTGGCCAGGACACTGTCTCTATGGGGTAGTGGGTGGGTAACAGTACAGAAGCTGCAGAGGGGTGGGTTAAACTACGAATCTGCTTCCTGGTCTGGACCCTGGGTTGTCATGGAGGACTAATAAAACTGGCCAAATTCCTAGAAAGAAGAGCTGCACCATCCAAAGAGGGATGGATGCCGTCTCTCCGCATCAGACCAGGTTTTCCCCAAAAAGTTTTCCAATTATCAACGTAGCCCACGTTGTTTTCAGGACACCACCTAGACAGCCAGCGGTTGAAGGACAGCATGCGGCTAAACATGTCGTCACTGGTCCTATCAGGCAGGGGGCCAGAGAAAATTACGGAGTCCGACATTGTTTTGGCAAACGTACACACCGAAGCAACATTAATTTTAGTGACCTCCGATTGGCGTAACCGGGTGTCGTTACCGCCAGCGTGAATAACAATCTTACTGTATTTACGCTTATCCTTAGCCAGCAGTTTCAGATAAGATTTAATGTCACCCGCTCTGGCCCCAGGTAAACATTTAACTATGGTTGCTGGAGTCTCTAATGCCACGTTTCTGACTATGGAGCTGCCAATGATCAGTCGGCTTGTCAGTGGGTGCGTCACTGAGCGGGGAAAATCTGTTAGAAACATGGACAGGTTGGTGGTGGCCCACGGGCTGGGTTCTATGCTTCTTGCGTACCGTCACCCAGCTGGCCTGAGGTCCCGGCTGCTCGGGTTCTGCTGGGGGACCGCTATGGGGTGGTTCTGAGCTAGTTAGCCCCACGCTAGCTAAGTAGCTACGGCTATCTACAGGCTTTTCAACAGCGCGGAGGCGGGACTCCAATTCCGACAATCTAATGTTAAAGGCTCAATAATATTGATAATCCATATTTTTATGGAACATTACATTTTATTGAATACCTTTATATTATATTGACAATTTTTTAAAAGTAACCACCTACAAAACGTTACAACTTTGAAGACACACAAAACCAGAAATCTTAAGCAGCCACTCAGACAGCAAAGGAAACTGAGTATTACGCCGGGGACAACCGGCCGCCGAAGCGCCGCGAAATGGGAACCGCCTTCATTCGGCGTCCTTGTTGTCCTATTCTATAGACCACATGGGCCGCCGAAGCGCTGCTCGCCGGCGCTCCAGCCCGTGTCGTGCAGCGATCGTTTCGGCGTCTGCTCTATTTTTTTGGCGAGTCGCGGGTGAATCGCGTCAATTCTGGCAGGAAGTCAAACCTAGACATAAGAGGCAGGCCAGTAAATTTTACAAAATAAAGCATTTCAAAATACAATTCCGCGACAGTCAAATGTGTTCATAAACAGACACTGCATAAAAACCACACACACACACACACACGCACAGCGAACTTGTGTGTGTGTGATCACGTGAAGGGGTGTGGTTTTGGGTGTGTTTCAACCGGAGCAAACAGGACAGAGAGGCAGAAAGTCGTAGGCCAGCTATTAACAACTGGTTCACACACACGCAGACAAACACACACAAACAGCAAGGGGGAGGGGGGTGTAGAGGAAAAGAGCAGAGAAAAGGCAGAGAGGAAATGGAGGACACGAAGTGGTTAAAAGAAAAACTGCGAGGCGCGCCTCGACTGGAGCGGAGAAACAAGCGTCTGGTCTGAACTGAGGAGCAGCGGCCAAATTTTGTGAGCGCTTCGCCTCCCAGCGCTTCGGCAGCCGGTGTGTCCCCAGCATAAATCTGTAAAGACACCACAGGATCACAAGCAGAAGGGAGAGGGAGTAGGCAGACCCCAGCTTTTTGCACCTCCAAGGTAGAAAACCCCAGCTCCTTCAAATTTAGGTTTGTTTTGTTCATAGTAGCAGTTTTTTAGAAGACATCTGAGCCTGGAAGTTATGTTTCAGTAATTTTTCACTATGCCTTACCTGTTATTCGTTTTCTCTCCAACATCAGACAACTACTCTGATAGGCCTGCTGAAAACTGCTCGTCTCCTGAGACTGGTGCGCGTAGCCAGAAAGTTGGACCGCTACTCTGAGTATGGTGCTGCTGTCCTTTTCCTTCTCATGTGCACCTTTGCCCTGATTGCTCACTGGCTGGCTTGCATCTGGTACAAGCACCTTTCTCACTATGATGGTTCACAAAATTAGATGAGAATAATTCTGTTAATGTTTGAGAACCACTTGTGCATGAGCTATCCTAACTAAATGAGCATAATAAAATACAAATAATTGCTTGTGAATTTATTTTTTAAATTAAAAGTCTGAATGCAAAAACAAATACATATAGAAGAACCTATATGTAATTCTTCATCCCTGCAGGTATGCTATCGGTAACGTAGAAATGAATGGTTCGATAGGTTGGCTTCACACCCTGGGTGACCAGCTGGGAAAACAATACAATGATTCTATCCGAGGTACTAGTATAAATGCTGCACAGTGGGAAATAATTGGATTTCAGTAGTTTAAGTTGCATGATTTTGTTTATATTTGCATGATGCCCCTTACTCAGATCCTGCCAACAATGCCAACATTTGTCACCGGGGACTGAACACGAAGGTTCGCCGACGGATCTAAGGAGGAACCAGCAACTCAGGCAATCCCATCACTGACTGTTCTCTGATTGCCTGAGTTGCTGGTTCCTCCTTGAATCTGTTGGCAAACCTTCGTGTTCAGCCCCCGGTGACATTAACATGATTAACATAAAACAGTAATAAAAAGTGACACCACTAAAATTTTTCATTACTTTTAGAAAATGTGTACCTTTTTTTGTTTTGTTTTAATTATTTTGCAAATTGAAACTTTAATCATGTGCAACTGATCTATTTCAGCAAATCAAACTTGCCTTTTTAAAGAAAAGATGTGTTTTTTGTAACATTCTGATTATTTTTAATTGCACTATAATTCCTCATTGTTGCTTATCTCTTTCTGTACCTTCTAAACCAGGTTCAGGACCTTCCATCAAAGACAAGTATGTCACAGCTCTTTATTTTACATTCAGCAGTCTGACAAGTGTGGGATTTGGAAATGTTTCACCTAACACCAACTCTGAGAAGATCTTCTCTATCTGCATCATGCTCATTGGATGTAAGTATAGATGGATGGATGATGGATGGATGGAAGAAAGGATTGTTGGATAAATGGATGGAAGGAAGGAAGGAAAGGTGGGTGGGTGGAAGGAATAAATAAGAATGGATAATGGATTGCTGAAATGAATAAAAGAAAGACTGAATGATGGATGGATGTTGTGTAGCGAGCGTGTCCTTTTTATTAGTTCCTTTAGAACCTGGTTCCGTTAGAACCTTAGAATACGCTGCTTTCTCAGGGAAGTTGGGGTCGCGGGTGAGTATTATTGTACTAGACCCTGGTTTGAACCACACACCTTTAATTAGGACTCGCTTTCTAGTTTAAGGTGAAATGGAATTGGCGCTACTTGTTCTTCCGTAATAACACCACTTTCCTTTTAGTTTCTCCCGTTATTTAGTGGTTTTAAATTCTAGGGCAAAAGTTCACAAAGAGGCCATCTTTGTGATTATTATTTGGGTCCTATCAGGATTAATTTGTGCCTCTGTCAGCATTTGTGGGCGGTGGTAACTAGAAAATGATTCTTATTAGTTGGCCAGACTAACATAGATTTATCAATTAAACTAATTAATCCACCCTTTGAAATGATTCCTTCCCACGCTAAACAAATACTTTTTTAGAGCAAAAAGAGCCCACCTCTGATCTGTCTCTCCACTGCCGACTCTCTGTCACTGTGTCAGCTCTGCTTCTAGCTGCTCTTTTTATACTATTCTAAACAACTGCCAAGCAATATCTCAAACAGTCATGAGACAGCAAAACAATGTGATCATTTGTCAGTTTCTTATCTTAGCTCAACACAAGACAGCCAAACCCATATGATGTCACATTTGTAAACTGGTCTTCAGCTCCCCCCAAAGTCCAGAACTTTCCATTGAGGGTTTGTCCTCTCCTGAGATGCTTTTCTTCAGTTGGTCTTGTTTTGTCCCAGCTTGGGTGCTTGTTGTTCAGTTGGGCCCCTCCTTCTTGTCTTCTGGCTTATTTTACTTGCATGAGCAAGTTCAGTGTACTTCAGTGTGGTGGGTCCAATCTCATCTCTGTGGTCCACCTGTTGACTCCGTTTCTTGCCACTGTTTTTGGCATGTGGGAACTTGCAACAGTTGTAATTACTTTTCCATGGGTTCAAGAAGACACGAGAGACCGGGCAGTTGTCCGGTACAGCGTGGGCTTTCTTTCAGTCATACGGCACGTTCTCAGGACAGTGAGTTGCCAAAACCCAAAAGTTTTTGGCCTGAAACCTCCAAAAAAAAAACTCACATCAGGTCGGAGACTATTTCAATACTTTACTGACGTCAGTATTGCATTACCAGGAAACGGACCTTACACACACATGATCCAGTGTGAAGGCAACATGTTTTCAGCAGATCATGGCATGCAAACTGTTATATGTATAAAAGAGCAATGCTGGTGTTACCAAAACACATTCCCAGAGAAAATACAGAACATTTGCAATGCCCAAAATACACTTGGTTATACAAAACTCCAGGAAACATCTGCTTGCTGTTGACTTCAGATCTCATACTTTGACTGAAAAACCGGATGCTGACATTCTGCAAAGCATGTCCGACCTTGGTTCACAGACACAGCTTTCGCTCCAACGTATCCTCCCCATGATAGTAAAACAACCGAAAACTGGCTAAATGGATTAAAAAGGTCGGGTATGAATAATATGCATACCGGTGTAACATATACCATAAAATGAATGTCAAATGAATAAATGACACTCACTAAGGAAACACTATGTGACTTTTAACTCAAAGCAAAAACACAAAAAAAAATATGTTAAGAAGTAACATAACATCAAACTAACATTATCAGGCATATGAAGTATATAATGTATATATGTAATGATTAAATAACTGTAGAACAACATTTGATGAGTATACAGAAGTAGAGTAAGTATTAGCTGTGAGACACAACTTGAACCTTGACAACGTCTTTAACCAAACACATCTGTACACATCAAAAGTACGCACACACTGTAAGAAGGCAAAAACCTGTTTGCTGTTCTTAACAAGAAAAGTTCCTCCTTGACCTCCTGGCCCAAACAGGACGATCACATGAAGCACAGAGTGAGCATACAAGGCTAGCCTAAGTACATGGCAGACATTAGGCAACATTGAACAACAAACGAACACATATAAGAGAAAATGAACAAATTAAGTCTTTCAACAGAGAATACTAAAGTAATGACCATGAATGATTATGATTACCCTTAACAACAACATTTCAACCAGTAACTGTATGTGAATATGCATTTTAAAATGCTAAGTGATATGAAATAAATGAATGATGTGGATATGACTAAACCTACAGAAGACAAAACAGTGAGTGTAATCAATATACTTAATGTAATAACACAGCTGCTCAACCAAAATAAAGAATGGAGTCAGAGTCCCAGTTGCAGGGTTGAAAAAATGGAGTGAAGAAAAACAAAATAGTCAAGTTCAGTTTTATTTGATGACTGCTGCAGAGGTCTTGTTGCTGGAAGAGGGCTTTGAGGCCGATTCCTTAGTCGACTGCACGTATCATCATCATCAGTCCTGACTAGATGCACAGACTACTCCTCAGCCGTCTCATTCTCCAGACACATTGGAAACTGTGCCAAGTCCTTTGCAGCCATTTCCATTTGCACATATTGAGACAAAGCAGCAAGGTTCATATGAGCAGCCAGAGTTCGCACCCACAGTCTACTCACAGCGGGTAGGATGCAACATGCCAATAGAAAAATCAGAATGAGTACTACTATTGCACTAATTCCTGCCTTTACGAAGATAGCTCCCCAATTGCCCAATTTGAGGGCTAAGAAGTCTAAGGACCAGCTTTCCCTGCCAGCATTCTCCTTCAGCTCTACCTTTTAATTTTTCATCTTATTCAGGGCATCGGTAAACGTACCATCAGGAGCCATATTACTCGTAACGTACGTACAACATTGATCACTTTTGTTTAGAATCTGACAGACTCCGCTCCTCTCAGCCAACAGACAGCCCAACGCCTATCTGTTCTGCAAAGTCATCCTGGTTGTGGCATGAAGCTGTTCGCCGATGAGGCCGAAGTTATTTGCTGAGTAATTTAAGATTCTTTGTTGATTGAAATAAACATAGTTGATCCATTTCACATTTTTATGTATTGTTATCTTGGGACGAATTGACTCTACACCAGCTATTACCTAATCTCTTGCTTGAAACTCAACAGGAATGCCTGTAGGCAAACCTATGGCATTCAAATGTACTTTATGATCAAACACATCATACCTCTTTGTCCTATGTCTATTGTCTCAGTCTTGAGTAGTTCACTCACACCTTCATGCAAAATAATCACCGGAACTTTCATACGCACTAGCGTACACAACCCGACCCAAAAACTTGGCAAAACATTCATTAAAACATCATCACCACACATCCAGTAGCTGTCAGCCACTGGAATGTTGTCACGTTTAGGAGCAGGAGGTTGGGACCCAAGATGCAGAACCCAGGATGACAAGAGACAGGAGTGGGTATGTGAGTAAAAATGCTTTATTTGGAGGAAGAACAACAATAAATCCAAACGGCAGGGAGCCAAAATCCAAAAATCCAGGGAGTCAAAAAACACAAGAGGAACGAGCAGACTCACAGAACAAATAACGCTGACAAACAACAATGACTACAAACAACACACAACAATGATCTGACAAAGGACATCTGCATCTTTGCCTCCTGAGCCGCTCCACCACACTTGGTCCATTATCTCCACACCCACAACGTGACAAATGTCTTGTTCACCTAGTAGATCAAGTAGGAATTGTCATTGTGATGTCATCACAATCCTGACTAAGAGATTTCGGGTTTTCATACCAAATAGGGGTGTCATTAAAGAGTGGTGTCATATTTGCATGCGGGAACCAGGATAATACACAAAGTTATATTGCAGGTGACAGCAAGGGCGTCAGTTTGTTTTCAGAATTGCTGGGGACAATAACCATACACTTGAGTGGGGTTTAAAAATTGCTGGGGACAATAAAGTAGGCTAGCACAGGGGTCGGCGGCTCTGGAGCCGCATGCGGCTCTTCCATCCATCTGATGCGGCTCTGTGTTTGTAAAATAATGAATGGATATTTAAATAAAATGCTTTATATTTTACTGCATTAATTTTACATCTATATGCCAATTCTAAATGTAAAGATTGTCTGCGTAAACCTGAACAGGTCCAACCCGGTCTTACTGTGAGACTGGGTTGACGCGTCACGCTTGTGCGTAATCATAGGTGCTTTATGAGCTGAAGAGGATGTGAGATTCTGGGATTCTCCTCAGACGGCTCCTGGATGTGTCGCCACATTGGAGACAGGAACAAGCGCTATTCAGCCAAAGTTTCATCATCAGGGAACATTTTCTAAGTGACAAGTCTCTCTGAGAGACCGGGTTTGGAAAACACTCGCTTCAGTGGGAGGAACCTTCATGCGCTCTGGGTGGCTCTGGGGTTAATCAAGTTTAATTGTTTCTCTTTGCAACAATCTTCACAAGAAGGCAAAACAGTTAAACGGCAGGTTACAGATATTTCCATTTGACTGTTTATTTTGACAGATGAACTCAAGGATGTTGCTTGGTTTGAAAGAATTACCCCCACGCACACTTATGCACATGGATGAGCTGACATTTTAATCGTTAACGCACATCGCGGAGGTAAAATATTCCCAACATCAGAGCTTTATACCGGACACTGTGTTCAGCGCGGCTCGGAGCGCCCACGGTGGACAGTGAGCTGAAGATCTGAGGGGTTCGCAGCGCAGCGCAGAACCATGGTGCATGCGATGATTTCCTCCCACTGAAGCGGTCTGGAAACCCGGTCTCTCTGAGGGACGTGTCACTTGGAAAAATGTTCTTTTTATGAAATTATGAAACTGGCTGAACAGCGCTTGTTCCCGTCTCTAATATGGAGACGCATGACGCGTAGAGACATTTGATCACGCACAAAGTTCGTGTGGAGCAGATGCGGTCGGGCCACGGCAGGTGGAATGTTCCTAGCCTACATGAAGGGAAACTGTTTAATTGTAACATTAATGTGTTACTGGACACGCTGGTCTGGTTGGTTAGACCAGTGTTTGAAGTGGAAAACACACACACACACACACACACACACACACGCACGCACGCACGCACGCACGCACGCACGCACGCACGCACACACACACACACACACACACACACCAATTAAAATAATGCTGATAGCGTGGACTAGAAGACAGGTGATGGTTTACGTATTTAAATGATGATCAGGCTGATGTAAAATGTAATCTCCATCCACATCCAGACACAATTATCCTCTATTCTTTCTCTATTTGCTCTGCTCTTGTCTGGGCTGATCAGCTGATGGTGCACGCGGCGCGCCTAACTAGCGGCTGATGCACATTTTATGCCTTTGGAGAGATGGGCTGGATGCTTTGCTTTTACTGGAAGATGGTCCACTTAACGCACGGGTGTAGACTACATATTAATGACAAATGAATGAAAATTAAATTGTGAGTTTTTACTTCATATTTTATAAATAAAAATGATGGGGGAACACATTTATGACGTCTTTTTAAACTAAATTTTCTAGCGCGACCTGCCTGCTTCACTTAAGTCACTGCTTATTAAGGTCCGTCCAGAATTACTGTGGGAAACGGGTAATAATGGCTCTTTGATGGGAATAGGTTGCCGACCCCTGGTATAAGATCTGAGCTGGTAAAACAAAAATCCTCATCAGCAGGCGTTTTTGAAAGTGGGGGGGGACACAGCTGCCAATCACAAATTTTGCCGGGGACATGTCCCCGGCGTCCCCGGTTAAAATGACGCCTATGGGTGACAGATATATTACCTATGTCCACTCCGTTGTCAGCGAAACCTCCACTTGCGAAACATTCATAATCAGCACTATAGTCAATTTTGCAGCCAGTTGGAGGACCATTTTGGTTTGTTTGGATTGCAAATTCAGCACATGCATCTTGGATGTTGTATTCTGCATATTTTTTAACATATTTGTACTTATCTTGTGTACCATGAAGCAATCTGCATTGAAGTCCACACAATGACAATTTAAGAAGTGGTGGAACCTTTTTATTGATCTTTATTTCCTTTCTAGTCTTAGACATGCATCTTTGTGCAATGGCACATTCTCTAGAAGTATATTTTTCTGGAACTACCTCAGGTAGCATTCCAGGTGCTTGAGCACACACTATGCATTCATTAGGGGTCATTTCTCTGGTCGCATACAAAGCCCATCTATATCAGCTATTTTGAATGGCAACATCCCAAAGCCTATCATCTATAGGCAATGGTCTGCTTGCCCTAGGATAGTTAGGTCCTGTGTTTCCTCCAGACCTAGGTCTAATTGGCCAAAATGATGGCTTAGGTATGGTTTTGTAACCGGTTTCATCTAATTCATTATGTCCTCCCCTAATAAGATTGCAAACAAGGCTACTACCAGAGGTTGCTGTAGTAGAACCAGAGTTCATTGCAATACCTCCTGTGGGAGTTGTAGTACGAACAGGTGGCTTGGTGGTTACGCTTCTTAACTTGCTAATTGGTGTTGTTTTAGATCTTAAAGCCGGTGGAGTCACCAGCTGTGAGAAAGAGGGAGTAGGAACATCTGTAACAGGGATTGTGGTAGTCAAAACATCAGGAATCATTGTAGCTTTAGCACTAGTGGTTAAAACAGTATTTGGAACTGTGGTTACACCATCAGGGTCCGTATTTGTCTTAGTTGTGGCCAAAACATTGCTTGAAACCTTGGTTGTTACATCAGTTTTAGCTACCGCGGTTGCTGGTCTTGTCGTTAACATTAGCTTTTGCAGGTCATGTTCTAATTCTGGAGTTGTGATCCGAGTCTGGATTGTCCTAAGACGTAGATACCTCTGACTACCCTCCTCCTCTTTTTTCAACAATTGAGAATGAACATGTGCTAAGTTGAATGCAGGCAAAGCTGCTGACGTATCTTGCATTCGGCCTGCTGCATTGCACTTAACTTGGTCATGGTGTGCTGCATCTCTGTTGGCCAAGTCGTTTGGGGTATGCTCTTGTGATGGGTCAATGAGTTGCTCCTCGGCCATCATCTCCATCTTCACCTCCTCCAGCGCAAGCATCAGACCCTCAAGTGTTATCCAAAACAGAACAGTTATCAGGCTTAGCATGCCCTTCTTTTTCCCAGCCATCATGCTGTTTGGTTAAATCAGACACAGAGGTTTGTCTTTGGCTTTTGTGTAGTGTGTCAGATGATGTCACGTCAATCCTCTTTCGACCTGGACTGCTGTTGGTGTTGCTCGAACCACTTTGTAGGGACCCTCTCGCTGTGGTTTGTGCCACTTCCTCCTGAAGACTTTGATGTACACCTGGTCTCCAGGAACCACTGGCCTGTCTGCGCCTATGCTAGAGACGAGCTCCTTCCTGCAAATAAATGGCTTAATGGTTAGTTGCTTGATGTAGCCTTTGAGTTCAAGCTCTAGTTGCTCCAACGAGGACCCCTTCCTCTGAGCTGAGGAAGTGGCATCAATCAAACCCTCATGGGATCTCCACAAGCTGCTTGAGTCCATTGTTGCTCCCCTTTTTCTCCACCACTGCTGCTCGCTCTTCTCTGCCTTTTCCTGAATCAAAATTATGTATTCTGGTGTTATTACAGGCTCTAGTGATATTACAGGTGTCATAATGGCTTCTTCACACCTGGAGGCAGACTTTGCAGTCTCATCTGCTGCGTTGTTGTCTCTGATGATGTCGCAGTAACCCTTGCGGTGCGCAGGGCACTTTACAATGGCAGGTTTTGAAGGAAGCATCATTGCTGAGATCAACTCGTTGATCTGGGTCTCCTTAAAGGACATGCGTCCCACGAAGGACAGGAGTGCCATCCGTCTTCTAAAAACCTCTCTGTCTTCATACACTTCCAAACAGGTGACAAACACCATGTGCATACGCAGAGTGCATGTAGATGGTTGCTGCCTGACCATTTGCCAACTTGCAAGCTTCATTCAAGGCTTTGAGTTCCGCTAACTGTGCAGAACAGGATTGGTTACACTTTTCAGCTTTTACTTTTTCAAATCTGTCTTTTATTTTTTCCAGAACAGTGAATGCTGCATGGTTTCCTAAGTAGTCTCTACAACATGAACCATCAACAAAACAGATTACATCAGGTTGATCAAAAGGAGTAGATTCCAAATCAGGTCTAAACTAGGGATAAGGGAATACACCACTATCTGTATCTGTATCTGTATCTGTTCAACCATCTAAATTATCTGTATCTGTAGTCGGAGTGGGCGTGGCCTAACCCGGAAGTGGGTGTAGTTTAACCAATACGTTGCGTCTGATCAGTAGTTGCTATGTGTATTGTTTATTTGAAAACTATTTACAGAGCAGCCTCAGAGATTGTCAGTTCTCTGTGATTGGCCAGTCAAATAGAGCGCCCGCCCCTCCCCACACACAAAACTGCAGCGGGAGCTCACAGCTCAGTCCACGTCCGGTTCATCCACGCACACGCACACCAGGGCTGTGCAGAGACCTTTGAAGGGGCGGGTGCTCAAATTTAAAAAGGGGCACACAGAATAATATTTTCAAACACCATGACATAACCACAGTATACTCAGCTGAATAACAAATCATATTTATTAGAAATTCAAAATGGAAGCGAATCATTATATACACCATAAGGACAATGTAAAGCAAAAGTAACTTGTTTAGGTAAATGGTCTGTATTTGTATAATGCCTTCTTAGGGTTCTACAGCCCCCCAAGGCACATTACAACACAATCAGTCATTCACACACACACATTAACACACTGATGGTGATGAGCTATGATGTAGCCATAGCTGCTCTGGAGCGCACTGACAGAGGTGAAGCTGCTGAGCACAGGCGCCACCGGTCCCTCCGACCCCCACCAGCAGGCAAAGCAGGTTAAGTGTCTTGCCCAAGGACTCAACAGCATCAATCTCTGATTGAAGTCAGGCTCAAACCTGCAACCTTCTTATTACTGGACAACCTGCTCCACCTCCTGATCTATTGCTGTCCTATTTTACCTGATGATGGGGTACAGTGTAGCTGTTGCAGGGTCGCTCCTCTTGCTGCTGCTGATGATGCTGGAGGGCAAGGCTGTGGTGATCTCAGACTGTAGGTAGTAAAACGAACAGAGGAGAAATGTTAGTCAATTACAAAATTTATGTAAGATCATAAAAAAATGGCAAAAATTGGTGAAAACTCTTAGAAGTGTAAGACAGAAATATCTGAGACAACACCTGCGGTAAATAAATGGAAATCTAAATATTAGTGGATAATAGAGGAGTTTATGTCAGAGATAAGAATGTGACAGTAATATAAACAGAAAGAGTTGTGTGTGTCTTCAGTCTCCTCGTGTGATCTATCACTCTCCACTTGCTGTCCATCTGAGAACAAGGCAAAATTAGCTATTGTATGAATGAATTATGTAGTTATTCACATTTAACAGGTCTTGCACCTAATCCATGATCAAGAGGCTAACAAAAAACATTTTCTGGCATCAAAACATTGCAGTTGTGTATATTATTGTTTCTACACTTGTTGCTGTGATGCAACTTACCTGTACTCTTTTTTTTTTATCCAGCTGGTGAGGGACCCACTGCCTTTAGCTGCCTCATGTAGCTCTGTCGCTGCTTCCTCCTCCTGTCCTTACGAAGCATGTCTGTACAATGATATATCATAATTAATTTACAAATATGTTTTCATGAATATAAAACTCATGCATACACATTCTGGGACATTTCATTCCTTTTCCAGAAAACTAACTGTATATAATTTGGCCACAAATTAGCTTCATGATGCTGATCCAGAATATTTCCATAATATTTTAATCATAGTGCTTTAGTAATTATAATAAAAATAAAGAATTAAACAATGTTTATGCTTTCATTCAGTTTTACTATCTACTTTGTGCAAAACAGAGAACTGTACCGATAAAATAATTTTGCTGTGAAAACAGTTTTTTTTGAATGTACATCTTTAAAACATAATGTTTTTAATACAATGCATTCAAAAAGAGAGCAAATATAAACTCCAACATTTTGAGAATATGCATAGTATTAGTGAACTAAAAAACCCACCAGAAGGGCTGAGAAACCTTAACATCTAAAACAAAACTATGTTCCCTAAAACGCTGGACAGAATTAACAAACAAGGACTGAATATTTAGTAACACAAAACTTGTGACGGATGTTACCTTTAGTATTTTTCTTATTTCCTTTCACAAAAGGTAGCTAAATTTTAAATTTGTTCAAGTTTTATTAGTCCGCGAACCAGGAAGTGATTTTGTAAACAAGAAGCAGGGCTGTGAGACCCTAGTCACGTGACACGCAGCAGCGATAGGAATGCAACTTTGCGGTACCTAGTTAACAACAATGACATTTTATTGGCAAATTCCCAATACTTAAGTTGAAAAAATATTTTCGTACAAGTACTTATGTACAGAATGTTTTTGGTTAATCCTAAAGTTACTGAGGTTCAGAATCGGTACCCAGCCACAGACACACACCCAGCTAGTAATATATCACACACCTAGTGCCACAAAACAACTTAATAATGTACAAAATAATCTAATAACTCTGTATAGTAGTGTGCATCCTACTTACCGGTGTTAGTCCGTTTCTCCCAATCAATATGTATGTCCTAAAAGCTTTGCACCACTCGCTCGGCCATGAAGAAAATGTGGGTGCTTGCTTGCAGCTTGTTGTGACCGGCTGTGCGCTCTGGCGTGAGGAAGAGACGGAATGGTCACGTGACGGTATGGTCACGTGACTCACGCCAGCTATATAACATTAAACAGAAATTTTATTAATGATTATTTTTGTTATTCTTGAGGGGGCACAAACAGAAAATTCTTAAAAAAAAAAATAATAAATATATATAAAAAAAATCATTAAACCTCAAAAAGGGCACTTTGGGCACATGGGAGAAAAGGGGCAGGGTCTCAAGCACCCTCCGCCCCCCCCCTCTGCACGTGCCTGACGCACACAGACAGTAACGGATCTCTCTGTGCTTGCTTCACTGATCACGTTTCTTCAGTGCTCCCTATGTTTTCTTCGGTTTGCTTCTTTTTAAAGTTACTTTAAAGTTATTTAAAGTTACTTTTTTTGTAACGTACGTGGTGCATTTGACAAGAAAGAGCTGAAAATGGCTCGTGCTGCGTCAGTCACTCACTTCCTCCACTCCGGTCGTTTTTTTTCCTCTCTCTCTCTCCTCTTCCTCAGGATCCACTCCCTCTTTCCTATTCACTCTCTCTCTTTCTTTACATTTTTTAATGACAATCATCTATTTTTTGCTCATTTTAAATATATTTTAATCCTTTTCTAAATTCTTTTTTCTATTTTACATGTTTTGTTTTTGTGAAGCGCCCCGTGATTTTTATCTTGAGAGGCGCTATAGAAAAGATCTTTTCTTCTCTCTCTCTTTCTTAATTCATGCACTTAAATATTAATGTTCTGATTTTATTGAAAAACTTGTTCTGTAATAGTTCCTTTTGTGATCAAAAATATTTAATCTGAACTCTGAGGGTGCTCTGTAAATAGTTTTCAAATAAACAATACACATGGCAACTTCTGATCGGACTTAAAATAACGTATTGATGTAAACCACACCCACTTCCGGTTTAACTACACCCACTTTCGGGTTAGGCCACGCCCACTCCGAGTACAGATACAGAGAATTTAGATGGTTGAACAGATACATATACAGATAGTGGTGTACTCGCTCATTCCTATGAAATACATAAACATAAAATCTCCGCTCGCCAAACCCAACCCTCCCCCCGAAGACACCCACCTGTCTATGGGACTTTGGAACTGCCAATTGGCTGTAAACAAAGCAGACTTTATTACGGCATATGCAAACCACCTGTCACTCGATGCACTGGCTCTGACTCAGACCTGGATCAAACCATGTGATAATGCTTGCCCATCCTCTCTCTCAGTTAACCACACTTCTTGTGCATCTGGCCGAGGTGGTGGAACGGGCATGTTAATTTCCAACAAATGGATATACAGTCAGTTGCTACCCATCACTAAATACAGCTCCTTTGAATACCATGCCATTCAGGTAACTGTACCGAAAACATTATTTTTGGTTGTCATATATCGCCAACCAGGTCAACTCGTAGACTTTCTTAATGAACTCGATACCCTGCTCTTCTCCATTTCTGACTGTCACGACATGACTGTCCCACAATGGTCCTTGGAGACATGAATATTCACCTGGACAATCCCAGCTCATCAGGCTTCCTGCCACTAATGTCATCATTTGATCTAAAACTAGTACAAAGTCCTCCAACTCACAAAGCTGGAAAAGCACTTGATCTCATTTTCACCAGAAACTGTGCCATAGACACAATCTCTGTCATACCGCTGCATCTTTCCGATCATTACTTCATCCGTTTCAGCACAACTCTACAAGGGAGGTCCACTGCTTCCTCCCCAATGGTCTCATTCCACCGCAACCTCCGCAATCTGGCATCCAACCACTTCTCCTCTCTTGTTGCCTCCACTCATCCATCTCCCAGCACATTCTTTGCTTATAAAGTGAATGATACCACTGAGTCACACTGCTCCACACTCTGCTCTTGTCTTAACAATTTGTGCCCTTTAGCCACTAGACCTGCTAAATCCTCTCAGTCACACCCTTGGCTAAATGATACCCTCCGGTCTCTACGCACCAATCTTAGAGCTGCGGAATGGAAATGGCGCAAAACAAAAGATCCTGGTGATCAATTCATTACGGCTTATGCAAACCACCTGTCACTCGATGCCACTTGGGGCAACGGTGGCACAGGAGTTAAGTGCTCGCCCCGTAATCGGAAGGTTGCAGGTTCGAGCCCCGCCTCAGTCTGTCGCTGTTGTTGTGTCCTTGGGCAAGACATTTGACCCATTTTGCCTGCTGGTGGTGGTCGGAGGGACCGGTGGCACCAGTGCTCGGCAGCCTCGCCTCTGTCAGTGCGCCCCAGGGCAGCTGTGGCTACATTGTAGCTCATCCCCACCAGTGTGTGGATGCGTGTGTGAATGGGTGAATGACTGATTGTGTTGTAAAGCGCCTTGAGGGGTTCCAGGACTCTAGAAGGCGCTATATCAAATACAGGCCATTTAAATTGAAACTTCATGAATTACTGTCCTAATTCTCTGCCAGCGTCACTGATGCAAAGAAAGCTTTCTACACTGACAAAATTCTCAGCTCAACTGACTCTCAGAAACTATTTTCGACATTCAAAACTCTGCTCAACCCTCCGTCTCCACCTCCTACCAACAATCTATCAGCTGACACCTTTGCCTCATTCTTCACTGACAAAGTGGCAGCTATAAGCAAACAGTTTACTCAACAGGCCACTCCTGGATATTCTCTACCACAAACTCCTTCTAGCCCAACCATCTCAAGCCCTACTGCTTCATTTTCCTCTTTTTCCCCTCTCACTGAGAACTGTGTGTCCAAGCTTCTCACGTGCAGCCGCCCTACTACATGCCCACTTGACCCCATACCGACTAAGCTGCTCCAAGCTATTGCTCCTACAGTGGCCGCAGCAGTCACACGTGATCAACGCTTCAATGACATCCGGTACATTTCCCACCTCTCTCAAGCATGCTCAGGATAAACCGCTGCTACAAAAACCATCTCTTCCTCTTAGTCATGTGGAGAACTTCTGACCTATCTCTCTCCTCCCTTTTCTGTCCAAAACCATTGAAAGGGTGGCTTTCAACCAGATCACAGAATACCTCTCACAAAACTGTCTGCTTGACCCTAACCAATCTGGGTTAGAAAAGGGCCACTACACTGAAACTGCTCTGTTAGCAGTGACGGAATCCTTTAAAGAAGCTAGAGCGACTGTCAAATCCTCAGTGCTTATCCTGCTCGACTTATCGGCTGCATTTGACACTGTCAACCATGGCTCCCTTTTGTCCACACTCTCTAGCATGGGCATCACAGAGAAAGCACAAGCCTGGTTTAAATCGTACCTCACAGGACATTCATTCAGTGTATCTTGGCTTGGACAATCCTCTACCGTGCACCATCTTACCACAGGAGTCCCCCAGGGCTCTGTACTAGGACCTCTTGTCTTCCCAGCAAAACCATCCATACAGCACAATATCTCAATCCAAATGACTTCCAATCTCTGGCTCCTTCAAAGGCAGTTCTAAAGCTGGGTGTTGTGGTTGATGAACACCTGACCTTTAAAGATCATGTTGCCTCTGTTGCTTGTTCATGCCGCTTTGCGCTGTATAATATACGAAAGATTAGGCCATACCTAACACAACATGCCACCCAGGTCCTGGTGCAATCTACTGTCATCTCCCACCTCGATTACTGCAATGCCCTTCTAAATGGTCTTCCAACCTGTACTGTGAGACCTCTTCAAATGGTCCAAAACGCAGCGGCACGTCTGGTCTTCAATCAGCCAAAAAGAGCACACGTCACCCCTCTGTTCATTGAGCTCCACTGGCAAACGCTAGCAGCATGCATCAAATTCAAATTGCTAACACTAGCATACCAAGTCTGAGATGGTACGGCTCCCATCTACCTGAATCCTCTTGAAAAGGCTTATGTCTCGGCCCGGCCGCTCCGGTCATCACAGTATCGTCGGCTAGCAGTGCCTACACCACGTTCGGGACAATCCAGACTCTTCTCATGCATCCTTCCACAAATGTGGAATGACCTACCAAGCACTACCAGATCAGGGGCTTCCTTTTCAATTTTCAAGAAACTCCTGAAGACCCTGCTCTTCAGAGAGCATCTTCTAAGCTAGCACCCTCACTGCACCATCCCCCCTCTCTACTGTCTGCTCCTTGTTCCATCCGCTCCATCATTGATGTCAAGTTGTTGTTGTTGTTATTGTTGTTGTTAGTCTCAAGGGCAACATGCCGATTATCACTTGTAAGTAACTTTGGACAAAAGCGTCTGCTAAATACATAAACATAAACAAACATCAGGTATGGAAGCCAGTTATCCCAGTCTTTAGCATTGGCAGATATAAACTTCCTCATCATGTTTTTAAGAGTTCTATTATGTCTCTCCACTAAGCCATCTGTCTGTGGGTGGCACGGGGTGGTCCGAATACTTCTAATACCCAATAGCTGGTATACATGGTGCAGTGTTTTTGACAAAAAGTTTGTACCCTGATCTGTCAAAATATCAGCTGAAATCCCCACTCTAGAAACAAAGCTGCAGCAGGGCATAAGTTACTTGTTTGGCAGTGATATCCCTAAAGGGAAAGCTTCGAGATATCTGCTGGCATAGTAACAAACAACCAAAATATTTCGATTACCTGCCTATGTCCGAGGCAGTGGCCCAACAATATCCATAGCAATGTGATTAAAGGGAACCTCAATAATGGGTAAAGACTGCAAAGGAACTTTGGTAGTGTTTCTGTCTCCTGCCAACTGACAGACCGAACATGACTGACAGTATTCTTTGATATTGATAATGCATGGCCAGTAAATCCTGCTGGAAATTATGTTCGTGGTTTTCGTTGTCCCCACATGACCTGCCCAGGGAATACTGTGCCCCAGTCTCAATACCTGCTCCCAGAGCTCCTGAGGTATCACCACTCTTTCCCCCTCCTTTCCACTGGCCTTAT